ATAATTCGGGTTTATCATATGAATTTTGTGATATTTTAGAATTTAATCCAATTAAAATTTAATAAATTCTAAAATATTACAAAATTCACATGATAAACCCGAATTATTAAAATCGGTTCCAACCTCTAGTTTAAAATCTTGTAATGTAGATCCACAAAGAATATAAAATGCTAATGCTCAAGTAGTAGTTAGATGACTTAGTCATCTTCAATTCAATATGCTAGAACTTACTGATCAACTTTCTTCTTTAACTACTTATATTATTTATCAAATGCACTACAATCAAATTGTTGCTAATGATTATTATAATCTTGCAAGTTTAGATCAAAAAAAAACTTAATCTAATACTGATCAAGATAATATAGCTATGAGTTATACTAATCAAGATAATGTAGCTATGAGCTATAATGATTTGATGATTGAGCATAACCAAGCTAGAAGACTTTTAGAGGTTGCTCAAATAGAGAAGCAGCAAATGGTTCAATTTTTAGAAGATCAAAAAAAAAATAAAGGAATTGATACAAAGAGCTTATGATGATATGATTATAACCTGTAATTTTTTAGATCATCAAATAAGTGAAATAGCTGAATTAAAAAATCAGCTATTAAGAGTTTATAATGAAGTAATTACGATTCATAATTTGTATAAAGAATAGCTTAAAATCAATGATACACTTGTTGCACAGTGGGATTCTCGATTTGATAATTAACAAAAGCGTATTAATGCAATTGTTGAAATAGCAAAAGCAGAACATATATCATTATTTGAAGATTTAGAAAAACTAATTTGAGATAATGATAGATTCTCTTTAGAAAATCTTAAGATATATAGCCCACGTGAATGGCTTAATAAGCACAATTAGGTTAGTATTAATTTTGTTCTTTTTTTAAATAACTATTATTAAGCTATTTTAATTATTTAATTAAAATTTTTGTAAAAGAATATTTATAGCTATTTTTATATTTATTAATATTAAATAAATTGCTATCAAATTTATTGAAACTCTGGTTCAGAATAATCAAGATAGTGATATTTTGAGCTAGAAAAAACTTTTTAAAACTGCTGTTACAATCAATTCAATATATGGAGCATGATATAAAAAATATGTATTTGAAATTCAACTTGCTGCTTCAGCTATTAAATATTCAATTTCACAATCAAAAATGACTATAGATATTGATAACCATATTACAAATTCTGAAAGTTATTATTGATTTCAAAAATGGCTTAAAAAATTATCAAATTATGAAGACTTATTGCCAGAAGATCTTTTATTCCTTGCATTTGACAATGAGCAAAAGGGGCAGAAGAACTATCTTGATAGAGGATCTAATACAGTAGTCTATCATATTGTTACTAGCTTTGTTGTTTTTAATATAGTATTACAAAATAGAATTCAACATACCAATCTACCTTGGGCATGTCAATCTCTTTCTAGATCCTAGTATGAAGAACTTTTTGATATCAGTTCTCAAATGCAAGAAATTATCAACAAAGAGTTATATACTTATCTTGCAGAAATTCTTAATTTGTTATCTGAAGAAAAGTCATCACCTTCTAATATTATTGATTCTTCTATAGCTTCTACAATAACCAACACAACAAATATGAAAATATGTTTTTGTTGCAATTGACAAAATATTGAAAATTGAAAAAGAATATATTCAGAATGCAAAATGCTACTATTATGACTATCTGAAATACAAAAAGAAAAAATAGTTGAAGCCAAAAGTAGTACAGTTGATCAATTAAACAACTATTTATGTTTAAACCTTATGATATTAATGAAGAACAAATTAATATATCTGCCTCTAAGATTAGTTTTACTCAACAAAAAGTTACTGATCCAAGAGTTAATATTTCAAAGATTTATATTCCCGATCCTATTAATATTAATCCTAATTTAATTCTCTTGAAAATGTTGAAAAAGTTCTTGTATATATAGAAAAAATATCAGGTATTAAAGATGGAATTCGCAAGTAGATTGTTATTACTTGTGATAGTGTTCCTTATCACCATGCTATAAAATTAAAAGAGAAATTCCTCTGGTTAGTTCTTATACCAGGACAATTATATGAATAAATGAATATGCTTCAAGCATATATAGAGTTAAATTGGTAAGTAATGTTTTAATTAACTTGATAAATTGATATTTATATAATATTTTTTAATCAATAATTAAGAAATTAGGTTTAGATTAGAATTTTATACATTTTTTTTATATAGAAATTTTTTTTTCAAAAAAATTGTTTAAAATCATCAAATATATAAGACTATACAAACTTAATAAATCGGTTTTAGTAGTACTAAAATGGGAGTTCTGGATCAGTTTTTTGGTACCTCTATCCAATTTGATCCTCTAAGTATACCTAGAACCTCAAATCAGGTATCATTTACCTTTTACCCTATCCGACCTTCTAAGTATATCTAGAGCCTCAAATAGAGTATTAACCCCTCTTCGGTATCCTAAT